TACCACTGTGTGTTGGCAAAGAAAAGAATGGCAAAGTATGAAATTAGTGTGTGAATTCAGTAAAATTTTTCTGACAGTGTTAACTTCTTGCAGGCTTGAAAGACTCATGCTCAGTTTATCAAGGATAAGTATTCAAATTTGATATTTGGCTAGCAGATAGTAAAAATATTTCTGATCTTTTAGTGGGTGGGAAAAAGATGAAGACTGGTTTGAGTTTTGAAAAAGATAAATACTCAATATAAATTTGTTGGTTAACCTTTGAGGAACTTAAACACTAACTTTATAAATGGAAAAGAAGAAAAAATACCCAACAGAACCCTTGACTCAAATTATTTGGCTTTCGGAAACACAGAAAAATATTTGGTGTTGATTTGTCAGCATTGCTATGTATAAAAGTCACCCAGGTAACTGGATACATTCCATCCACATCTCAAAGGTTTAAGGTAACAGTAAATAAAAGCTTAAACTACTTCTCATAATATTTTTTGTCATCTAAACCACAAACTCTGGCTCTTGATTATATTCTTCCTTCATTTTGTCATAACGGGAAAGTAGAATATAACTCAAAGTATCTGGGAGGTTGATATATTTAAATCTAGATTGCTTTGAAGCTGTCTTTTGTGGGAAGGCAAACCTCTGACGTACTTAATCTCTGAGATTTGGTATTTATGATAACTAAGGAGGGCAAGGAACCCCACCAGCGGATCAGGATTTATAGGCCATAACTCATTCATTTTAGGAAGAGAGAGAACAGTAAATGACAAGCAAAGGCAGAAGAAATCCCATTGGCTGGAAATGAAGTAGACGGTGACCAGGAAGACTAACCCTTGCCAAAGGGTAATAAGCACGCGTAATGCTCTGCAGATGAACACTGAGGTGCCCATACATCACAGTTTGGTTCATTACTGGCAGCAGGGCGAAAAGATTCCTCAGGGCTAAAGTAGGTGGGTTAACTGAAAATGCACCATGAAGACCACAGGGAAAGCTCTGGAAACTGCTGGATCATCAGATCAATAGACTCAAAGATGACTAAGTTAGGTAGCTTTCTGCAGTTTAAACATTTGTGCAGGGAGTATCCCCATGCAGCCTTTTATTGACAGCTACAGATCAATGGTAATTTTTGATCATTTTCAACCTACATAAACCTATTGACCCCATGGCCACCTTCGGGGCACTTCAAGTCGTCAAAAATAATCAGAGGAGATGGTGTAAAATTGTCAGACTGCTCAAGACTCCAAGTAGTTCCATGTGTCCCCAGAAGCAGAGTTGAGAGGTCAAAATGTAGTTCAAATTGCCAGCAGAACCTCAACTAGCAATGTTCCAGAGTCTTGTCTTTATGCTTCATCAAGTGGTGCACTAATTTGCGTCCCGACTGTGACCCTCAGGCATATAAATTTTTAAAATAAAACAGGCTAAATCTCATTGTAAATAAAAGATTGTAGAGAAAGGATTTTATCAAATACAATTTTTCCTGTTTTTCCTTTATTGAGTCGTTCTCTTCATCTGCTGCCTAACAATAGTAGCTAATAGGCATTTAGGATAGAGGAAGGTTATGGACATGGGCATAAAATGGATGAAGATAAAGAGAAGCTAATGCAAGTAGGTAGCCCAGAGTCAGAGGGAACAAAAAATGTAGCTCAAAAGAATCAATAGCTGGGAGGAGTAAAAGGGAGGAAAGAATAAAATGCTGACAATGGAGGGGAAGAAATATATCAAATGTAGAGCATCAAATGCAGATATTCTCCAAAGAGGACAGGGAATGAGAGAAGAATGGAGGAATGGAACAAAAGAAAAGGAGAAAAAAAGACAGGCAAAGCAAAGGAGCAAGAGGAGGAACCTTTCCTTAATGATGACCCTTGCTAGTCAGTGAGACAGACTGCTCCAGCTCCCAAGGAAGAAACTGTGTCCCCAACATGCAGCCCACAGTGCTTGAGCACAAATTTTGAGTTTAAAGAAAATAATAAGTAAATAAATGAAGGAGACACAACCCAGTTCATACAGGGAACTACATCCAGGTCTTGCAGCAGGATTCTAAAATAGTGAACTTTGGTGTTGGAGATCTATTCAGAAGAGAATAATATACATTGCTTCCTAAGGTGCAGATAAATAAATTGTTTTGCTAATTTTAAATTTTCTTTACTTTTTAATTTGGCCTTTGCAAATCACTGAAAAAAAGTGTGCCTATTGTTGAGATCTATTTAAGGGATGTGCGATTTTTTTTTTTTGGTGGGAGAAGGTAGTTCTTCAGAAATAAATTAACATGAGAACTTTAAATTTCATTATACAGACATTTTTCCTCTTCAACCCAACATGTGGTTATTTCCCTGTTTTTAAAAGATCAATACAGACCAGATTAAGCAAAATAACTGTTGTAATTACCCGTTGTAGGATCATACCTATAACAATTTCTATGTCAGGCAGGACGAATTTGGGCTTGAGATGGTGGGGATTTTGAGGCCAGGGCATTTTGAATACTTCTGCTTTCAAGGGTCTGAGCCATAAATGTTTATTAAAAGAATCTATCATGAAATCAGGTTTGTTTTTTAATGGTTCCTGGAGTGTGCTGAATGACTGAATGCGGGTTGTTAATCATTAAGTACTCGTGTTACCAAAAGTGTTTGATTGTATTGCCATCTAGGGGCCAAATGGAATTCTCAGCTCTGAAATAAACTGTAATTGAGCAGGTGCTGCTATTGACAATATACATATGTTTTTGCTTTATAGCCCACATGCTTTTCATGTTTCTTATGACAAAAGTGATCTCTAAGTGTTCCCCAACAGCCTCCCTTTCTTATATATAATCTGTTAGAGGTGATTACAATTTGCTTTGGAGCGTATGCTTTTTTTGGCGTCTATTACTGAAGATTCTTGAACAAAGAATTATTCTTTTTTGCATTATTAATCTTGCCCATGTTTGCCCTATTTCCACAGAAAAGGAATCATTTATTGGAAAAGAATGTTTGTAATCAGCACTTGTAGCATCCTCAGATTTAATATTCATTGTGGTCATTCTAGTTCTGTGTTATATTTATCTAAAAGACCAATCCAGTGTTGTGGAGAAATAAGTTTTTAAATATTTATGACCTTACTTTTAATATTTTAAAAAAGAGAAATTAGTATTTCTGTAAAATTTGTTTCAGAGCCTGGTCGCTTAGCAAATGTTTAAATATTAAAAGATTTCAAGAGGTTAGCTTGTAATATCATAATAGAACTTACTGAAATAGGAAAATGGACTTTATAGGTTCCTGATGGGTAAGAGAAATTGTGTTTTCTCTGCCTGTGCTTAACACATAATAAAAAACATGAACACAGTTAGAACTTTATAACTAAGAAAGCGATGATATAGTGTGAAAAATTATTGCTACATTATTTTGAGTTTGTCTAACCAGTTTGTTTGAAAACTTATTCGGTTTTATTTTGTCACCTTATTTTAGATTTATCCAGAAATTTTACAGCCCCAAATTAAAGAGAATTTCCTTACATATAACTGTGTCTGATGTCTTGGATACCGACTCTCAGAAATAAGATCCTGTCTTAGTTACTTTCTCATTGCTGGGACAAAATACCCAACACCCACAAGTTGAAGGAGGAAAGGTTAACTTTAGCTCACAGTTTGTAGAGGTTTCAGCCAGTAGTCTGCTGGCTCCAAGGCAGGGCGGCATGGCAGAGGGGCATCACAAAGGGGAAACAGTCCATGGCAGGGCGGACAGGAAGTAGCGAGCCTTCCTTCTTCTTTCTTGTTTTATTCCATCCAGGCTGCAGCCTATTGGTTGGTGCCACCCACACACAGGGTGGGGGTCTTCCATCATCCACACCCAGAACTGTGCTAACCAATCAGTGGACTAATCCAGTATCATACATCCATGATCCAGTCACTCCCAAAACCCCCACCTATGAGTACATGAGGCTTGGGGGGGACATCTAGATATAAACCATAACAGATCCTCTTCCCACTACATATTCCTCCTCTCTCAGCCACAACGGAAGCCAATTGAAGACTATCTCATGCACACATCTACCAAACCCAACCAGATCACACACATCACTAAATGTAAATATCTTACTGCCCCAGTCAAACTTCCTACTTGGCAACGAGAATGGTATACATCAGAAAACGCTAATTTGTGTGTGTTTACCTACACCACTCAAAGACATAACTCCTACCCTAACCAGACACCACCATCCAGTCCAGATGTGGAAAGTGCACCCCAGGGTCTTTGGAAACATTAAGATTCTTAGCTCCAGTTTAGTTATGCAAGATATGTTAAATGCTCTTCATCAAGCAGGTAAGAAAAAAAAAAATCTGCTGTCCCTTTTTTCTTTCCTTTTTAATCAACAAAGACCAAATTCTCAATGCCTCAATAATAAATTACTTTGGGTATGTTTTATAGTTTAGTTATGGTAGGTGTTTTTAACAAATGAGGTCATTTTCACATTGCTATTAATTGTAGGCTTCTCTTGGGGTGTTTGTACATTTATACTCCAGTGGGCTTATTACTATTTTCTTGTATGTGTTTGTTTTGTGGAGTTTGTAAGATATAAATACACAGCAAGAAAATGAGGGAGGAAGACAGGAAATGCAAGAGTCTTATGTATAAATAAATAGCAGTGGGGATTAGAGAATTTGGATTATTTGGATTAAATCTCCAAACACTTGAGATAAGTGAGTGGGCAGTTATCCATCTCTGTGACACAAGTGGGTGCCACTCATTTTGTTGTGAGCTACATGCAGCCCTGGTCTGCAGCCTCACAGATTTGTCTGAATGTTCATATAGCACATTCGTTGTCTGCAAGGTCTGAAAATTCAAGCCTTGTATCTGACTTGGACTTTCTGGGGATCTGGAATCCTCCATTAGGGGATATGTTCAAGGTGTCGGCAAGAACACGGTCTTCTTAGTGATGGTTTAGGGCTTTCTATGGCTACTGGAGAGCCTTTGGCCTTGGACTTCAGAGCACGGACTTCCAGCCCTTTTTAGCCCTAACTGTCCGCTTTCTTCCAGGGAACAAGCCACCAAGCCCACCTGTTCGGCTTGGAGCCATTCACAACGTACCACATTGGCGTGGTGGCTGCAAACCTCGCAGGAGAAGTTTCAAGCCCCTGGACTCTGGTTCAAACCTTGGAATCTTCCCCAATGCGGCTGAGCAACTTCACTGTGGACCAGAAAGAGAACTCCCGGGCGCTGCTGCTGCGGTGGGCAGAGCCCATGAGGATCAATGGGGTAATCAAGGTAAGGGCCTCCCTGCCCTGGAAGCCAACCTCGGGGTTCTCCGGGGTGCTCTGGGGTCCCTGTGGGTAAACAGCCTTTACAGCCTCTGTAATCTCCTCAATGGCTCCCTGAGCACTCAGTCACAGATCAAACTCAATCACGTATGTGACATGCCCCGTGCCCCTGGATTACCACACTTTGTCCCGCTGGACAGCTGCACTGCACACCCCGAGGCCCAGGAAAGCCGAGTAACTGCTCAGACCCACACAGGAAAGCACAGCCAGGAAGTCACAGAGCCCTAAGCTCCAAGTGACTGTTCTCGGTGCCACCTGAAGGTTCCTCCCTGGTTCTGTTCTTAAGCTTTGCCTAATCTGCACCTGGAGCAGAGCTCCCTAAACAACTCACAGGTGCCTGCTGACTGCCCCAGAAGCAGTCGGACACATGTCACACGTATAGCTAGGCTCCCTTCGTCTGTGAGTGCAGGGAAGGCATGAGTCCATGAATGGCGCATTGTGATGCTTTGAGCCCTCAGCCACGGGAAAGCTGGACCTGCCCTCCCTTTCCGACAGGCCTCTCTCCTGTGGCTGCCTGCCGCCACCTCTATCTCCCATCTCCTCTGGCCCCGCGCCGCAGGCACCTCTGCACCCCAGCACTGTACCTTCTGCAGCCTGCAGCTGCTGTCTCCACCACCCTCCTCAAGGCGCAGAGACCCCCACTTAGTTCCACATAGGACAGAAAAGCTGTAGCTTGTCCTGCAGCCCCCCGAAACCCCTCTGAGGAATGATGGCAGGAAGGAACCCACAGATGGCCTGGGACTGAACTTGGGGGGGCCCATGCGTTTCTGGCTGCCTCTGCCCAGTGCTAGACCTGAGCAGATGACAGAGACAAGCACTTTCTACCAGCCAGCAGCATTGATACCAGACACCCCGCACCCTGGGGCAGGAGCCGCAAGCCCCAGGAACATATCCCAAAATCCTGAGCCAGCCGGAAGTTCCCTCAGAGAGAAAAGCCTCCTCCATGGCGCCCATCAGCTCTTCCTGTATTTGTGTCCCACCCAGTGCCTGCTGCTACCCAGCATGATTGACAACAGGAATATTGACTCCTCTCACCTTCATTTATTTTTTCACCAAATATTTATTGAGCTTCTACTAAGTGCCATGCACTTATTCAAGAGTGAACAAGACAGGAAAGGTCCCTGCTGTCACAGCCCTTACATGTGTATGAATAAGCTTGGGGGAGTCTATGGGAGGAGGACAGAGAGGCAAACAGGAAGCTGGTAAATAAACAAAGTAGGGAGTTTCAGAGAGCAATGGATGCTATAAAGAAAATTAAATAGAGCAAAACAATTATTCCTGCTCAGGCTATTTCAGAATGGATAATCATTTGAATTGAGTTGACATTCGAGCTGAGCCCTGAATGACAAGACAGAGTCATTCATACGAAGATATGGGGAAAAATGTTCCAGACAAAGTGAAGAGCAAATACAAGATAAGGCAGTTGTATACAGTGGAAAGGAAGAAAGGTGAGGTGGTAACCATCGAGGAGCAGAGAAGGATGGAGGCTGGTTGTGTCCAACCTCGTGGACTGTGGCAAGGCAAGGAGTGGGGAATGAAAAATTACTGAAGACTTCAAGCAAAGAGCAGAGTGATCACATTTATATTTCTAAATGTCACCCTGGCTGCTGGATGGAAAACGGACTACAAGGGGAAGGATGGAGTTTAGAAGCTGTTGGAGAATTCAGGGTAGGACAGATGATGGCTGGGATTACAGTGAGAGACAGGAAGTGGAGAAATACAAGTGGGTTGGAGACAGACTGAGAAGGTGGAGATGAAAACCTTTTTAATGGACTGGATGGGAAGCACGGAGGAAAAAGAGCACTGCAGGGTGACTTCTAGGTCTCGGCCTTGAGCTGTGCCAGGGGAGGGAGAGCTGGAAAATGCACGGGTTTGAGGGGCAAACTCCTGAGGAAGCTCTTCACTGAGAGAGGATTCGGCACCTTAGGTGGCACTGGAGCCATGGCGCTGAATGAGATCAGCTATGGAAAGAAAATAACAAGCAATGCTGGGAGCTGGGTCGCGCCATGGGGCACCCAGGATCTGGAGATCATGAGGAGGAAGAGAAACCAGGAAAGAAACTTGAAGAGTTAAGTAGGAAGAGAAGGGAGTGGGTCATCCCGAAGGTGAAGAGAAAATATGCCAGATGGTACTGTGAGGTCAGAAAACACGAGGCCATATTAAGGGGACTGCAGGAGGAGGAGGAAGTCATTTTGATCTTGGCAAGATCAAGTGGTGGAAAGGGAATGCTGAGTGCCATCACTTAAGGAGAAAACCATGGCAAGTGAGGAAGTAGGGATGGCAACTCATGAATGTTTGAATGAAAAGAAAGCATACAAGCTGGGTGTCATGGTGCACCCCTGTAATTCTGATGCTCTTGGAGGCTGAGGCAGGAGGATCATAAGTTCTAGCTCAACCTGGGCAAATTTTCAACTTGCAGAGACCCTGACTGAAAATGAACAGGGCTGGGCATGCATCTCTATGTGAAGGTCTTGGGTTCAGCGTCTGGTACAGAGGAAGGAAGGAAGGAAGGAAGGAAGGAAGGAAGGAAGGAAGGAAGGAAGGAGGGAGGGAGGGAGGGAGGGAAGGAGGGAAGGGAGGGAGGGGGAAGGAGGAAGGAAGGAGGAAGGAAGAAGGATGAAGGAAGGGAGGAGGAAGGAAGGAAGAAGGAAGGAAGGAAGGAGGAAGGAGGCAGGAATGAATCAAAAGGGAGAAATAGCTAGGGGACTCTGGTGTTGAGAAGTTTCATTTAAAAATCAAGGAAAGATATGAGGGCACATTCAAAGATTAGTGGGAATAACCAGAAAGGAAGAGAAACTGATGGTGGAGGAGTGACAAGAACTGCAAGGGTGCAGTCGTTTGGAAGGACAAGAGATGGGGACGCATAAATTGGAGCCCCGAATAGGAGCACAGATCCTTCCTCAGTAGCCACGGGAGAAAAAGGCAAAGGCAGACACCCCTCAGCCTCCTGTGGGCTCGCACAGCATGAGCTGAAGTACTGTTAAATAGGACGTGTGCCTAACACACCTAACCTGTGAGTAGCATAGCTCAGCCTGGCCCACTTCACGTATCCTCAGAACACCCAGCCTACAGTCGAGCAAGATCGTCTCACAAACCTGTACTATAATGAAGTGTCGATGATCTCGGTATCATGCGTGTTAGTCTAGATTCCCAAGGATCTGATGATAAAAATGTAACCTGAGAGCCTTCCTTTCTAATGGCTTCTGTTCTTAATGAACCATGTGGTTATGTCAATAACCAACTAAGAAGGAGAGAAAAGGGGTGTTGGCAGTCAGTGGGGAAAGGGGAAGACACAAAATAATTACTTTGCATAATGAGAGACCAAATGCAGAAGGAAATAAAGGGTTACAATTTGGTAAGCACCTCCTGAAAATGTATAGTAAGAAATGTAAAGTGAGACCAGTCTGCCTGTGTGTGAGTTAGGCCCTGTTGCTATAACAAAATACGTGAGGTAACTAACTTACAAAGAGACAAGGGTTCTTTTGCCTCATGGTTTTTGAGCCCCAAGATCAGGTGGCCCCTATCTTGGGGCTCCTGACAAGGGCAGCAGGCCAAAGTGGGGACTGAAAGCCAGAGCAAAAGTGCTGACCACGCCAGACAGGAGGCAGGAAGAGGGGCAGATGGGGTCCCGCGCTCCCCTGCAGGCCACATCCACAATGAAGCAAGGACGGTCCACAAGGTTCCCTCTTCCACAGGCCCATACCTCCCAAGAGCGCCACCCCAGGGACCGAGATTTTAGTGCCTGAGCCTTGAGGGGCCACTCATCTAAACTGCAGCAACACGTTTGGACACTTTTCTCCAAAGCCTCTCGGCAGCGTAGGTGAGAGGGGAACTGAGGGGAACTCATTAGACATTTGCCAAGGGAACAGCAGGGCCAGCAAAGGTGCCAGCGGCCCAAGAGGCTTGTGAGTGGAGGTGGAATCTACGTTTCCTTGGGGATCTGGGCCACTCCTCCTCCCCTACGCGACCTGTCCTTACCCTGGGAACCCAAGGAGAATCACACCAAAACTCAGCGATCCAACCTAGATTTCCGGAAGTCTGGGCTGTGTCGTCGTAAATAACATTGAAGGATATCAGCGATGCAGTCCAGGTTAATATCCATTGGCTGCAGTCTGCAGGAACGGCCGGAACCAGCAGTGTCCTCCGGGGGAGTCCGGTGTGAGCCCCGCCCCAGCAGCCAGTCACAGCTGGCCACCCCACCCGCAGGAGGTGGCACCTCGTGGGCACTGAGGCAGGAAAGGGGAGAAGCCCCGGCTCAGAAACACCTGTGTCCAAATTTACTTTCTTTCCAGCTTTTCAAGAAGAACAATGAATAATACAGACATGAAAATTAGGTCTGTCTTTGGATGATAAGCCTTAGACGGTTTTCAGCAGAACAAAAATATTTTGCCCCAAAAGAAGCAATCAATTTTCCTCCACAGCATAAGGAAGACAGGGTGGGTTTTTTAAAAGTGCCTAGTGGTAAGAATTACATATTTGTGTGTATTATGCATACATATTTGTACATGCGTGTAACATAAGTGTATATGTGCGTGTACATGCACACACATTTTCAGCCCTGATAACCCAAAACAACGACTATTAAGTATGGCAATTCCATTTCCCAGAAAGTTCTATGAAAATGCCTAAAGAAGGTAGGTAGATCTTACCCTAGTGAGGATGAGACCGTACGCCCACAGTGTCCATACAATAGGGGATTTGAATGCCTTTCCTTTCTTCCTAAAAATAAAAACAGGAGAACCGGATGAGCACGATTTCAGTCAAAGAGTAAGGGTCAATGGCCTTGGGTGTGGACCAACGCTTACATATTGTCCAACCTCATAACAAATCTCCTCAGATGTTTCACTAGCTGGAGAGGCTTCCCTTTCCGAAGTCAGTCAGGGGCAGGGTGCGTCTTGGGTGTAAGTCCCGAGCCCCAAGCGCCTCCCTCGCTTCTCCCCCGCAGGCCTCCCGCATCTTCAGCCCAGGGCTCCCGCGATGCCGAGTCCTGCTTCGCTGCCCCCTGCTGGGCGCCGCCTACGCGCTGAGCCCGCGGGCCAGCAGGGCGCCGGGCTGCTACAGAGCGTGCGCCCGGGACGCGGCGGGGCGGGCCTGGCGCGCCGAGCGCACGCTGCCGGCGCCCCCGGAAGGGCTGCCCGCGCCCGGGCTGGCCTGGAGGTCCGCCAAGCCCCCCGCCCTGCTGGTCTCCTGCGCGCTCGGAGGCTGCGCCGCCAGCGGGGCCGCGCGGGTCAACACGCCCGAGGCCGCTCGGTCGGGACTCCGCCCTTCGGCTCTGCGGGCCGTCAGTGCCAGCCACATCCACGCGTCCTGGTCCCCACCGTCCAGCCCAAACGGGGAGGCCACTCAGCATCGACTGAGGTTCGCCGGCCCGGAGGAGCCCGCGGGGTGGGGCCTGTCCCTCCTGGTGTCGCACCTGCTGCCCTGCACGCGCCACCGCTTCTCCCCCGTGGCCTGCACGGGCGGGGGGTGCGTGGCTAGTGCGCCCAGGGCCGCCCGGACCATGGAGGCCCCGCCGGAGGCCATGGCTCCCCCCGCGCTGCAGGTGACAGGCGCCCAGTCCATAGAGGTCACCTGGGAACCCCCCCGAAGCCCAAACGGCCGGATCCCGAGCTACGAGCTCAGGAGGGACGGAGCCCTGGAGTACACCGGCCTGGAAAGGCGCTATCACGATCCCACTGGGCTCGCCCCGGGGGCGGAGTACGGCCACACGGTAACGGCCACCAACTCCCAAGGGGCCGTTTCCAGTCCGCTAGTCAAAGAGCGAACCAGCCCCTCTGCGCCCGCCGGCCTGCAGCCCGCCACACTGCACACCAGGGGCCCTCGGGAGATCTCCGTGAGCTGGGACCCTCCGGTGAGGACCAATGGCGACATCGTCAACTACACTGTCTTCACCCGCGAGCTGTTGGAGGGAGAAACGAGAACCATATCCATGAACAAGACCCAGGGCTCTTTTGGTGCCAGGTCGCTTGTAGTGGAGCAGCTGGAGCCGTTTCACAGGTAGGTGGCCCCAGCGGGCGCCGCGGAGGAAGCCACTGTCCCTTCTGTGCCAGCCCCTGGTCGAGCCTAATGAGGACTCCAAAGGCCAGACGCACGATGTCCCCAACCCTGTCCACTTAACACTCATGGTGAGAAAGCCTGCTTCTGCGTCCCCTGGAGAGTAGGATTCCTGCAGGGGATGTTTGCAGTTCCCCCTCCTGTCCAGAGCCAGCCAGCGCAGAGCTGAGGCCCCTTCCCTAAGTCAAGTCCTCGTAAGTCACCCAGGCCTCTGCGTAGTCCCCAGAGAGGGAGGGCCTCCTGCCCCAGGCCATGAACAGGAGGAGAAGCATTAAAGCAGGACAAAGTGCAGTCAGTGAGCGCTGTGACCAGCCAGACTTGGTCTGCACCAAAATTTGTGTTGGGAAGAGCTTTTCTTAGGAATCCAGAGCTTCTTCCGGGGATAGAGGCTCTTCTGGACTGTTTCCTCCGGGTTTCGGGACTGTTTCACCCCGCAGTCGGGACTGGCATTCTCCTGGCTGTTTTCTCTGAGTCCTTGGCTTTCGTGAAGGCGTGTTGCTCCTCCACAAAGGAATCTTCTTGCACCTTAAATAATTGCTTGGCAGTTTTCCCTATCACATTTTAAGTAACTTGAGTCCCCAGAGAGAAGGGTAATAAAAGGCATTTTATGCTTAAAATTTAGTAAAATTATCATAACCATTTAAAAAAATTAAAGGCTGAAAGTGTTGATTTCCAGCCACCGCAGGTAAAATTGAGCTATCATTGTAATCTACTGATGTGTAGATTAGATGCCTCTATAATTATCTCTGATATATAGCACTGGTTAAATGAAACATTCATGGTCTTATGCATCTACTCACGACAATTATTTAGGGTCATGTTAAATATTAAACAGTAATTAAAACTTCCTCAGGTATCCTCCACAGCTAATCCACATGCTCTAAGTTGGCTTTTATTTTACTCTAATTCAGGACATTAAAAAGACCCGCACTGGCTGCAGATCTATATATTTTACACCAGCTTCCTCTTTCTCTGACATTACACGCAAGTCCCAAAAATGCATTCAGCTAGCTCCTCTACCCTTGAAACTGTTCTTCACGAAGATTTCTAGAGAAGAATATGCTTTTCCCAGGCTGGAAAAGAAAAGTGTCGGTTAATCTAGTGAGCCTAGCAGGGACGTTTCAGGGTGCAGGAGGGGTCTCTTCGATATTCCCTGTAATTTAAGCTGTGACACTGATGGTATAAGACAGAAGAGCACTGCTACCCTGTGGCTTTTAAAGCATATTTGCGTTTATTGATATTACACCTTACCGTGTCCACTATTGGCCACCGGAGCTGGTCACTAGGAAGAAGTAGCCTGGGAATGTTCCAGAAAGCAACTGACCCAGGATTCAGTAACTACCGCAGATAACCCAGAAAGTGAATGACCCTTTGGAGGAAAATCGCAATGGACCTCACAGCTCTGCCACAGGCAGCTGTGGTGTGTTCCGGTCAGCCAGCGAACCCATCATGGTGGAGAGGGGTAAAAGAGGAGAGAGGCGGGAAGGGCAGGAGAAGGGGGATGGGAGAAGTCACAAAGGGGAAGAGAAGAAGGTGACCTTACAGAACAGGAAGTGGCTAAGTCGGAGAGCTGAAGCGGCAGCTCCTCAAAGAGGAAAGGTAGAAAATGGACAGGGAAAGGCTGGATCGAAAGAAATAAAGGGAGACAGAAAGGGAGCTGGGTACTGAGGGGAGTCTAGGGGTGTCATAAAATCAATGGGTGAAAACATGCTGGTTTTCCGCCATAGGCGCTTCACACTGACCACAGTCCCTGCCATGTAAATAGACCTTTCCAAGGGGCGCAGACCAGCTCTGAGGCAAAGCATAATTGATGAGTTGAGTTTAACTGGATGGTGATGAGGTGTCTCCATGATGAATAATCCAGTGTAGCTGGGTTCACTTTGGCCCTAGAAGGCTCTGCCTTGCGCACGGGAGCCTGTTTTCAGATGTCAGGTATCAGGTGCGGATATATTACCTCTGAGACCTAAACTCGTGCTGTTCCTTGGAGACCTGGAAACAGGCCTGGGGGGTCCTCTGGTCCTCGCTCAGAGGTAGGGAAGCCAGGGCTGCTGGACTGCTTCTCACTCCCCGAGCTGCCTTCTTTATTGCTGCGTTAAATACTTTTGCAGAGCACTAAAATTTTCACACCGGAAAGAACCTTGAAAGTTTATCCATACAGACTTCTTTGGGGAAAGAATTGTGCCTAGGCCTTGTAAACAGACGAGAGTCTTTCCTTTAGTTTGGAAAGTCAGGGGGATTTAAAATGAACTTTCCATGGACGTATGACTTCATTATTTAAAAGAGTTAACCAAAGACTGGAGGCCTGGAGGCCTAGCTCAGTGGCAGAGCTCTTGTTCAGCATCCCCAGCACCCAATGAGCTATATTTAAACATAAATGTGAGCTGAGTGCAATGGCACAGGCTTGTGATCCCAGCACTCTGAGAGGCTGAGGAAGGAGGAGCACAAGCTGCAATACAGCCTGCAATTTAGGGAAACCCCATCTCCAAACAAGGAGGGGGAGGGGGCTGGGGGTACAGCTTGGTGCAAAGTCCTGCGTTCAGTCCCCAGAACCAGAAGATAATAATGCATGTGCACTTGTCTTTTCTCAGAATGCTTTGTCATTTGAAGCTCTGTCCTGTGCAGATCTGTTGCACTGACACTCTGTGATCCTACCTCCCATTCCCAGGTATGAAGTTCGGATCCAAGCCTGCACGGCCCTGGGGTGCACATCAAGCGACTGGGTCACCCTCCAGACCCCGGAGACGGCTCCTCTTATGCAGCCTCCTCCTCATCTGGAGGTGGGGATGGCACCAGGGGGCTTCCAGCCCACCGTTTCTCTTCTATGGACAGGTCCTCTCCAGCCAAACGGAAACATTTTGTACTATGAATTGTACAGAAGACAAACAGCAGCTCAGCCTGGAAGAGCCAATCCAGTGCTAACCTACAATGGGAGCTCGAACTCCTTTATGGATTCTGAACTGCTGCCCTTCACCGAGTACGAGTACCAGGTAAGACCTGCATGTGTCCAGCAACACAAGCTGAGATCCTGTGCGCTCGCCGATAAAAATTGCTCTTGATTCAAAGAGTCGCTTCAAGAAACAAGGGCTGAGCGGGGGTAATGATATTTTTTAAAAAATTTTAAGGCGTAAATGAGAGGGAACCAAATTCATTTACTGCCTTCATTTTCTTGGTTTTGGATCCCTGTGGCAGATGCTTGCTTTTTCTGTGTAAATAGAGGAAGTGTTTGCTTTTTGCATTAATGAAATGATTTCCACCATTAGGCTCCCCTCTGTCAGTGCTGCTTTGGTTCTAGGAACCCCTTGTTGGAGGATGCCTTCCCAAATAACTCACTAATTGTTACCCAAAATAAAATCTGTTGATGAACATCTGTAGCTGTTGTGCTCAAGAAAGAAAGGAGAGTAGAGAAAAGGCTGAAAAGATGCAACTCACTGCATGCAGGGTGGACTTTTTGTAGGATACTAAAAATAATTATAATAAGACTGCATGTCCCTAAACAAGCAAGCATTAAGCGTAATATTCTGAAGATACTTTGAAATCCAGAGAGAATTTTTGTTAGGCTCCTTTTGCCTTTGGAATCCACAAGCACTCTTCTTGTAGTAGCAGCCCCACTTCCGGTTTCTCCACCTTGGCTCAGGTGTGGGGGGAAGGGTCAGCCAGCTTCTCCGGGCCAAGGGAGGCACACACTGGCCCCATGCAGCGCTCAGCCCCACCTGGGGCCTGATCTTCAGCAGAGGCCCTGGGAAATGTAAAAGGGAGAAGTGAGAAGTCCTGATAAAGTTCTGCGTGCCTCCCTCTGAAAGTTTTTCTTTACCCTGCTTTTGCAAGCATGGCTCTCCAGCCCTTCTTTTAGTTCTGTATCCTCCCAGTGAAGGCCCTTTTGCTTAAGCTAGAGTCCCTTCCTCTTGCTGGGACTCAAAGGAAGCTGTGCCGCTTAATATAATATAAGCACTAAGTACAGGCACAATACTGAGAGCCATTTTCTAAGACAGGAAACAGCCTTAAAATTCTTATCGTACCAAGAAATGATAAAATCACTAAGGAACTGTGGTGAACAAATCAATGAGCTTAATGATTAGAGATAAATTTTTAAGCATGAAAAGAAGTATGTTTCAGGTCAATAATGTATGGGACGAACTAACCAATGAAATTAGTAAGAATCGAAGACAGAGGTTCTTGAGTGGTTTGCAGAAGTGCATAGAGATAAATCTATAATTCTTGTTTGCGATTCCCAATCTAAAAAATCTCTTAAAAGTAAACTTTTTTGGCGGCAGTCAGGGGTATATCCACAACTCATTTGGTGGCAAAACCCAATCTAAATAGACTTGACACTATCTGTAGTATTTATTTATTTCACTTAAGTATGAATATTTATATGTTTTACTGCAGAAACAGTGTAGTTCATCATAAGATAGCTAACCTGGTCATCTTGGAGATATTATAAACTATACAGTAGATAAATGTTACCTTTCTGTATTTGAAAAGCATAATTGTCTCAAAAGCCCATCAGGCTCCAAGGGTTTGGGACAAAGATTGTGGCTTATGTTATGAAGAAACAAAATAGCTACTGATGCTCCCGCTGGAAAGAGAATACCCTTAGAAAGAGTCAGGACCTGTGTGCCCATCCCTTTGTTCTTGGCTCATTTCTTTACTGAAAAGTGTCAAGCTAAAAACATATCTTTGTGAGAGAGCTGGGTGGAATTAACATGAAGCTTTTGGCCTGGATTAGGCAAAACGAAATGACCCAAAGGGACCGAAGGCAAAGCAGTGATTACAGCTTCCTGGGCATTCATTGTCTCATGTCACTGGGTTAAATATCGGTCACATTATCTGATGAAGTTTCATCTTAGTTTCTAAGGAATGGCAAACTCCAAGCATGTGTCCTCTCTCTAGTTAAATTTCTCATCAGGAGCTAAGAATGATCAAGGGACCCAGATTTCAGAGAGGAGGCAAGTTGAGAATCTCCAGCTGAGCAGATGCTTTTGTGCCTGTTATTATCAGCTCTGTGTCACAGATTTCCTCCATACTCACACACCAAAAGAAAGTACTGTATTTAATTTGCTTTTCATGACAAACTGATCTCAAATTTGCACTTATTAGCTAATCCTATGTTGTGACAATATATGAATACAGAACAGGAAAACATTCAAGCCTGTCAGCCTCTGTACTTATAAAAAAGGATATTTTGAAAAGCAGAGATTAAATGATGAAATAAATGAACTAAATTATTGGATTTATTTAGCCTGTATGAATGCTGAGCCTCTAGTAATCCTAGAGAAGTCATAGAGGAAATTATGTACTAAATGATTCATTTCTCTTTAACAAAGGAACATTTTGCCTTTGACATGAATTTTTCCCTGCTCTCAAAGCCACTGGAGGGTCACTTCATCCACAAGTCACCTTTAAGGAAACATCTCCTTCATCCTAGACACACTCTGTTTGACACCCAGCAGTGATTTGAGTCTTCTGCAGAGGGTTGTATTTTTGAGGTAACTCACTGATTTGTCAGGAGCAAAAACAAAGGAGGTATGTCCCAGCGTGTGGGCCGTCAGTCAAGGGTGGCCATGCTCTACAGTTGAGTGTGGCCAGCCACGTGGTCTGCCCTGGGAGTGTCAGATGTGGCTCACAGCCACCGTCCAACCCTTCCCTCCACCACTGTATTCACTCTGTCTTTGAGTTTGGTCGTGGAAGGCAGCTGCTAGGATGTCATTAAGTGAAAAGAACAAGACTACTTTCCAGTCTAAATTAAGTCCCCCGGTCAGTTGGTTGGTGAGACAAAGGGCTGTAGTGTGGATAAGTTCTGCTGGGCTGCAGGGCCAGGAAATGTCACTCAACTCACAGCAATTCATGTGAGCAGCTTGGTCGCCAGTTCACTTGGAGAAGCCGTGTGATACCACAGGTGCCTTTTCCCTGTGGATTTCATATGGAGCCCTGTGAAGGCAGCAGTTCTCGGTGTTTCTTGTACAAAAGGATCACCAAGAGCTTGTTCAAGTGGAGGGGAAGGGACTCCAGCAACCTATATTCTTAACACGCGACTTATATCGTTCACAGCTCATGTTTTTTGAGAAACCCTGGAGTTGCTGGGAACTGCCTGGACTCCCCCGTCACTGTGTTGTGCCATCAGTGACTTTGTTAGTTTCGTGGGAAGTTCCCCACTTTGACAGCTATGCCAGTGAGCGCCCACTCACGGGGTAGCACACACTCTCGGGGGCTCTGAGGGGTGCTGGTGCCTGGTGGTCGGTCCGGTGACTGAGAGGAAGCCCTCCATCTCCCTAGTGTGAGGGCCTGGGCTTGGGGCTAATGCCGCAGGAGCCAGTGGCATCCACTGCTTTCTAACAGACCAGCGCTGTCCCCAAACTGGAGGCTCAAGGGAGGGCTGGGTAGAAGACCTGGAAGGGATCTTACTGTTCTTGCCAGAGGCAGCTGGCTGAGGACCAGGAGCATACTGTGCAGGCCACCAGAAAGTAAAGGATGAGCTTCAGGGGCCAGAGAAGGGGTACCATTTTCTGGTGCTTCCAGATGCTTGAGCAAAGAACCCTTCTGAGCCTTTCCAGACTTAGTGCAGGCTCCACAGAGGGATGGCTGAAAGCAGGCACTTACTCCTGCAGATCTGAGAGGTGCCAGGTCAAGCTGCCTGTGGCCCCTGTGTCTGCTGAGGGCCTGCTTTCGGGTTTTCAGGCAGACATCTCCCTGTGTGCTCACACAGCACACAGGGGAGAGCATGGGAGTTACCTCCGGGCTCTTTCTCTTCTTTCTAAGGGCGCTAATCACATTCATGCGGGGGCCCCCCACCCTAGCTGAGCTAGTACCTCCACACCCCGTCACCTCAGGAACCAGCCTTCAGCAGACAAATTCTAGTGACGCAGAGCTTCTGTGCACAGATCCCATCTGGACACACAAGTCCCCTCCGGTGGCCACATAGGAAGGAGCCACAGCCGTGCTCTTTTTAGAAAATAAAATCACATTTTGTCTTCTCTTGATTGGCCCTGGTAATCTGCAGTTGGTAAAGTTGACAAACTAAATCCAGAGCAATTGCATTTGCTAATACTATTTAGCTCTAAGTTGTGTTGACGAAAGTGGGCCTGAGAGACCAGCTTCAGACAGGAAGCGGTGGCAACAGGGTTATCCGTTAGTTACCGAAGTGGACTCGGGGAAATAGCAGCAGTGGCGACCCTTATCGAAACCCAACTGCTGTAGTTACTAAGATACTGAATTGTTAAATTGTACACATATTATAAATAGAAATGTAAATAAATGACAGACAGTTTATTTAGCTTACGACATATGAGTCCCAGATTGACCTTGAAAAAATCCATACCATCACAAAGGAATGATTAGTAGTTTTTTTACTCCAAGTAATGGGAAACCAACTTGAACTAAATTAAAACAGAAGGAAATTGTGTGTGCTCTCCTGTCTGGGAAGAGGACTGAAGGAATTCCTTGAAACTAAGCCAAAGATGTGAACACCAGGCCCTGGAGACCTGGTTGCAGGATTGGATGTGGTTGGACTCATTCCCTCTCTCCTTCCCTCCTTCATCTCAGCTCATCTGTGTTTGGCTCCATTCTGTACAACTTCTCTGCAGGCATCAGAGATGACCCCTGTTGGCCCCAGGATTCCAACTTTCTCTGTGCCTCAATTTCCTTTTCCTTTGAATATGAGTACCAGTAGCTCTGACCCCCTGGCTTGCTTTGACGTTGAATGAGTTAACGTGTGAATGTGCAGGGCACAGAGGCTCACACTAGAAACTGCTCAGCCAACAAAGCGACATGCATCATTATCATACCCACCCACCCCTAAAGGAGAGAGAGGACTTCTCCCTCCCAGTATTCCCAGTTCCACCAAGAGCAGGACTCCGAATTATCCTGTTGCACGCTGTGCCTTCTGGGAACCAAGAGAGTGGAGCACCATGGTTGAGCAGGGCTGGTTCCGGGGTCCACTTCCGGCTGCACAGGATGTGCAGGAAGCTCCAGCCAGTGGCAAGAGCTGTCT